AAAACACCACGTGTTTTCTCAGCTGGTGAATGGTTCTTCAAACGTTCTGTGTGTAGTTCTCCAAGCGATGTTCAGACTCCGATTATTCAAGTAATAGGCAGTGAATTTGTCTACAGTAAATCAGGCGATCTTCAGTTAAAGACAGTGAATGTGTTTATAGTAATTCAGGCGATCTTCAGTTATAGACAGTGAATGTGTCTACAGTAAATCAGGCGATCTTTAGTTATAGACAGTGAACGTGTCTATAGTAATTCAGGCGATCTTCAGTTATAGACAGTCAATGTGTCTATAGTAATTCAGGCGATCTTCAGTTGTAGACAGTGAACGTGTGTAAAGTAATTCAGGCGATCTTCAGTTATAGACAGTGAATGTATCTATAGTAAATCAGGCGATCTTCAGTTATAGACAGTGAATGTGTCTATAGTAAATCAGGCGATCTTCAGTTATAGACAGTGAATGTGTCTATAGTAATTCAGGCGATCTTCAGTTATAGACAGTGAATGTGTCTATAGTAATTCAGGCGATCTTCAGTTATAGACAGTGAATGTGTCTATAGTAATTCAGGCGATCTTTAGTTATAAACAGTGAATGTGTCTATAGTAATTCAGGCGATCTTTAGTTTTTAGACAGTGAATGTGTCTATAGTGATTCAGGCGATCTTCAGTTATAGACAGTGAATGTGTCTATAGTAATTCAGGCGATCTTCAGTTATAGACAGTAAATGTGTCTATAGTAATTCAGGCGATCTTCAGTTATAGACAGTAAATGTGTCTATAGTAATTCAGGCGATCTTCAGTTATAGACAGTGAATGTGTCTATAGTAATTCAGGCGATCTTCAGTTATAAACAGTGAATGTGTCTATAGTGATTCAGGCGATCTTCAGTTATAGACAGTGAATGTGTCTATAGTAATTCAGGCGATCTTCAGTTATAGACAGTAAATGTGTCTATAGTAATTCAGGCGATCTTCAGTTATAGACAGTAAATGTGTCTATAGTAATTCAGGCGATCTTCAGTTATAGACAGTGAATGTGTCTATAGTAGTTCAGGTGATCTTCAGATATAGACAGTGAATGTGTCTATAGTAATTCAGGCGATCTTCAGTTATAGACAGTGAATGTGTCTATAGTAATTCAGGCGATCTTCAGTTATAGACAGTGAATGTGTCTATAGTAGTTCAGGTGATCTCCAGTTATACACAATGAATGTGTCTATAGTAAATCAGGCGATCTTCAGTTATAGACAGAGAATGTGTCTATAGTAAATCAGGCGATCCTCAGTTATAGACAGTGAATGTGTCTATAGTAAATCAGGCGGTCTTCAGTTATAGACAGTGAATGTGTCTATAGTAATCAGGCGATCTTCAGTTATAGACAGTGAATGTGTCTATAGTAATTCAGGCGATCTTTAGTTATAGACAGTGAATGTGTCTATAGTAATTCAGGCGATCTTTAGTTATAAACAGTGAATGTGTCTATAGTAATTCAGGCGATCTTCAGTTATAGACAGTGAATGTGTCTATAGTAATTCAGGCGATCTTTAGTTATAAACAGTGAATGTGTCTATAGTAATTCAGGCGATCTTCAGTTATAGACAGAGAATGTGTCTATAGTAAATCAGGCGGTCTTCAGTTATAGACAGTGAATGTGTCTATAGTAATCAGGCGATCTTCAGTTATAGACAGTGAATGTGTCTATAGTAATTCAGGCGATCTTTAGTTATAGACAGTGAATGTGTCTATAGTAATTCAGGCGATCTTTAGTTATAAACAGTGAATGTGTCTATAGTAATTCAGGCGATCTTCAGTTATAGACAGTGAATGTGTCTATAGTAATTCAGGCGATCTTTAGTTATAAACAGTGAATGTGTCTATAGTAATTCAGTCGATATTCTGTTCTCCAACAAGGTACAACAGAAGTTTTCAAACTCGTACAGAGTTGTTGGTGTCATGGAGGCAGACAACTCAGGACAGAGGTGTTCTCTAGTCCCCTACCACAGGGATGTTCCAACTGACAGTTTCATTACGTTTGCTTTTTCTATACACCCTCTGATATACCATCGCTGCAATATTTCTCTCCCCTCTATCCCTACGCCAGGTGTCAAATTCGTAGTGCCGCAGTTCATTGTTGTATCACTTCCTGCACCTCAACGTTGGCACTTACGGGACAGTATAAGTTTATCCAGAGATAACACGTACAGAGGTCAGCCGTGTACATGGAAAGTAAATAGTAAGTTGTAATTTCCCTGTGACATCGGGGCCATATTCACTTGGACCCAGAGTGTGTAATCCCGCGAGGTTTGGGCTTCAACTGAGAATTTCAGTTGGTTGTTACCGGAGAAGTAGGTGAGTGAGTGAGTGAGACTCACGCCGCTTCAAGCACCAATATCAAATTTTTTTTTTCCTTCAGTTTTACCATTTTGGGAATGGATTTTGGATCTTCATTGGTTTGAATTGTAGAATGTTTTGGAAAATAGACCAGTTGTCCTCTACTGTATAAACGAGGCGATGTGTCTTGGTGGTGACAGAACGTAGGAACCGCTGTAGTTTTGCCGTTGGGGGTCATGCGTGACCAACTCGTGTTATTCCGGGACAAGCCGAATAGCGACTCGTGGCCATTTTGTGCAACTGGGTTCCGTCTAAGCGCAAACGGACACAACTAAAAGAACTGTCAACTCGTTGCGTAATGATTCACGTATATGTCTCATAAGTCATATATATTTCAGATGCTATTTAAGACACATCGGGACTTCAGGTATTATACAGTATGATTGAACACATTTAACTGTATATGTTGGGATATATGTTTAGATGCAAGACATGTGTAAAATCAAACATTATTCCTGAGGGATTCTTTGACGGAAGTACTTGAAGTTACACGCTCATTTTTATTGGTTTGTCGTATTTTCGCACATAACATTCATCGATAGGGGGACGAGTCTTCTTTCAGGTTAAGGAAAGGGGCGAGTGGTGACGAATGCGTTGTGGGTATTTCTCTCAGGATCTCACATCACATGACTGCAATATTGCTGATGGTAGGTCAAAAACTCTTCATTGTTGTTTTAAGTCTATTTTTCGACGTGTTTCTTATATGTGTTATAATACGTTTGAGTGAGTCATTGAGGTGAATGTTTTGCTGCGCTTTGAACAGTAAATCAGTTGATAGGCGTCGACTTGGCGAGAATAGCTCCACAATTTCGGCGTAAAACTTAATTAATCCAGTGTATCATAAACTTAATGAGGAAGATATGCTTAAGTGACGCAGGCGAATGATACTTACCACATGTTGCCACCTAATAGCACGGGGATGGTGCTGATAAACCAAGGGTCAGATTCGGCGTGAATCTGGACTCGAACCTACACCCAGCGTACGGCTTAGGGACGCATCTCGTCACAGTGCACTGCAACGTCAAAGACCACTGCGCCATCCGCTTTCTTTGAACAGGGCGGTGTGTGGGTATGTGAATTTGGTTTTGACGCCGCTTTGAGCAGGATTTCAATTATCTTCGGCTTCATGTTGGAGAAGAAAGCCCGAAGTAATGCAGGTCTTAGGCGTGTATCAGGTTGGTGAACCAACGAGCGCGGGTTTGGTCGTGACAAACCTAGAAACATAATCAGGGAGAAACTGGGATTCGAAATAGAAATAGAAATGAGATTGTGGTAATCTAGGCATGTGATTAATCCTGTTTTGTTTATTCAAAGCAGTAATTGTTTATTGTTAAGCATGTTTATCTCTGCAGTATCGAAATACTAGTATTCAGCTACTGGCCGATTGGTCTCGCATCAGGTGAGGTGAGGTGAAATTGGGTTTAACGACGCGTCCAAGATTATTGCACTTATATAGTGTGTGTGTGTGTTGGCTGCTTGTACTAGTCCGGACTGATGACGATTTATAGTGCTAGCTCACTGACATACCATGCCGCAGTTTAACATGAATACCCCACTCAGACACAGTATACTGACTCCGAGCCGACCAGTCCTTGTTTTAGCCCCTTCATGCCGAGCGCCAGACAGGGTAACAACAAGTACCATCTTTTAACGTCTTTTGGTATGACGCGGTCGGGGATCGAACCCCGGACCTTCCGCTCTCCGGGTGGACGCTCTACCACTAGACCATGGAGGCGGTCGGTCTCGCATCAAAACACGGGGCTGTGTACTCGCGGGCAGATGACCACGGAATACGCTGATCACTGTGTCGGATTAACGAGACTGATCTATAAGTGAGATTTTAGCAATTTGTTGCAAATTAGGTGTGTCGGAGTCGGAGTGCGAGACTGTCGGATTAACGGGTCTGAATAGCACTGATTTAATCGGTTCCCATCATTAGTGTCGGATAAAGCCGATTGTCGGATTAACGAGACACGACTATATAGGTTTCTGGCACGCTGAAAGGATTTCCTTTGTACGAAACAACTGGGCCGTGTCCCCGTGCCCCCATGTCCCCGTGTCCCTGAATAAGAAGACTGAAATGTACCCAGATGAATTTCCTTGTTATAGTACAGAGGGTTCGGACGCGATAACGCTAAGATGAGTTTAAATAGATGGCTGGTTGGAGGGACTGCGGTCCCCACTTGGTGGAAGTGTCTGGAAGGTCTGTCTTCCTCCTCTGATCGTCACAGCGTCTCACAGCATACATCAGCCAGGCTCCTGCTCACAGCTGGTTAGCTTTTTAATTATGTCATCATTCCATAACGAAGGAAAATGTGCGTTTTTAACCTAACAGTTTAATCCTTAAATGACGCATTTCATTAAGTGTGGAGTATTCTAACTGATTCAAAAGATAAGATATTCTCACGAAAATATAAAAAGAGAAGGATTTATGTGAAGTCTTATTGACGTGTAGGGAATGTGGGTTAACCGAACGTCATTTGGACACAGCCAAGTGTCTGAGAACGACCTCCTTGCTAACCAGGCACATTTCTAACAAGGGGTTGCGCCTCCTCAACGTGGTGCCACAGATTGGCGTACTACTTGATGGCAACGTTATCACTAAGCGGCTAGTTTATGACACCAGCATGTTGATTTGGAGAATCGTCTTCTGTTGTTCGTGTGGTTGTTCCAGATTGTGTCTCTCGAATGTAACAAAGTCCTGCAGAAATGGACGTGACATAAATCCAATTCATGACACGCGAATCCTAGCGATGACAGCGATGAGGTCAAGGTCGTGTAATGAGCGATCATTTCAACGTCATCGCCTATCCAAGAACATTTGAACACTGACTACTCTCACACACGCCCATGTCATACCCTTTCATCAGCACAGCCATTTGTTAAATCTATTATGTAATTATGTCCATGTTTAACCCTAGCGATTGTGGAAATGTCAATGGACATGTAATATCGTCTGAAGTCTGAAGCATGGAATAATGAGCACCCTACGGGATGTACACCGCGAGCCTGTGTCCGTCAGCCCCTCTCGGTCTTCTGTGCAGTGTGTAGATCTGTCCGATGATACGCTTTTCCAGTGTATCTCCATAGTTCGGCCTTCCTCTGATAATACGCTGTTCTTGTGCAGGTTGATATCTAGGACTTCCTCGATAATACGCTCTTCTTGTAAATCTTGATGGTCAGGTTTTGCGCCGATAATACGCTTTTCCTGTGTAGCTTGAGAGTTAGGCATTCCCCCGATGATACGCTTTGCCAGTGCATCTCGATAGTTAGGCCTTCCCCCGATAATACGTTCTTCCCGTGCATCTTGGCAGTTATGCCTTCTCCCGAAAATACGTTATTCCCGTGCAGCGTGATTGTTGGGCCTCCCCGATAATACGTTCTTCGCGTGCATCTTGGTAGTTAGGTGAGGTGAGGTGAAATTGGGTTTAACGTCGCGTCCAAGATTATTGCACTTATATAGCGACGTGCATGCACGTGTATGTGTGTGTGTGGCTGCTTGTACTAGTCCGGACTGATGACGATTTATAGTGCTAGCTCACTGAGATACCATGCCGCAGTTTAACATGAATACCCCACTCAGACACAGTATACTGACTCCGAGCCGACCAGTCCTTGTTTTAGCCCCTTAATGCCGAGCGCCAGACAGGGTAACAACAAGTACAATCTTTTAACGTCTTTTTGTATGACGCGGCCCGGGATCGAACCCTGGACCTTCCGCTCTCCGGGCGGACGCTCTACCACAAGACCACGGAGGCGGTCTGGTAGTTAGGCCTTCCCCCGATAATACGTTCTTCCCGTGCATCTTGATAGTTAGGCCTTCCCCCGATAATACGTTATTCCCGTGTATATTGATGGTAAGGCCTTCCCCCGATAATACGTTATTCTCGTGTAGCTTGGTAGTAAGGCCTTCCCCCGATAATGCGTTCTTCCCGTGCATCTTGATAGTAAGGCCTTCCCCCGATAATACGTTATTCCCGTGTATATTGATGGTAAGGCCTTCCCCCGATAATACGTTATTCCTGTGCAGCTTGATGGTTAGGCCTTCCCCCGATAATGCGTTCTTCCTGTGCAGCTTGATGGTAAGACCTTCCCCCGATAATGCGTTCTTCCTGTGCAGCTTGGTAGTTAGGCCTTCCCCCGATAATGCGTTCTTCCCGTGCATCTTGACAGTTAGGCCTTCCCCCGGTAATACGTTATTCCCGTGCAGCTTGATGGTTGGGCCTCCCAGATAATAAGTTCTTCCCGTGCATCTTGGTAGCATGATGGTTAGGCATTCCCCCGATAATGCGTTCTTCCTGTGCAGCTTGATGGTTAGGCCTTCCCCCGATAATGCGTTTTTCCTGTGCAGCTTGATGGTTAGGCCTTCCCCCGATAATGCGTTTTTCCTGTGCAGCTTGATGGTTAGGCCTTCCCCCGATAATGCGTTCTTCCTGTGCAGCTTGATGGTTAGGCTTCCCCCCGATAATGCGTTCTTCCTGTACAGCTTGGTAGTTAGGCCTTCCCCCGATAATGCGTTCTTCCTGTGCAGCTTGATGGTTAGGCCTTCCCCCGATAATGCGTTCTTCCTGTGCAGCTTGATGGTTAGGCCTTCCCCCGATAATGCGTTCTTCCTGTGCAGCTTGGTAGTTAGGCCTTCCCCCGATAATGCGTTCTTCCTATGCAGCTTGGTAGTTAGGCCTTCCCCCGATAATGCGTTCTTCCTGTGCAGCTTGATGGTTAGGCCTTCCCCCGATAATGCGTTCTTCCTGTGCAGCTTGGTAGTTAGGCCTTCCCCCAATAATGCGTTCTTCCCGTGCATCTTGACAGTTAGGCCTTCCCCCGGTAATACGTTATTCCCGTGCAGCTTGATGGTTGGGCCTCCCCGATAATAAGTTCTTCCCGTGCATCTTGGTAGTTAGGCCTTCCCCCGATAATGCGTTCTTCCTGTGCAGCTTGATGGTTAGGCCTTCCCCCGATAATGCGTTCTTCCTGTGCAGCATGATGGTTAGGCCTTCCTCCGATAATGCGTTCTTCCTGTCCAGCTTGGTAGTTAGGCCTTCCCCCGATAATGCGTTCTTCCTGTGCAGCTTGATGGTTAGGCCTTCCCCCGATAATGCGTTCTTCCTGTGCAGCTTGATGGTTAGGCCTTCCCCCGATAATGCGTTCTTCCTGTGCAGCTTGATGGTTAGGCCTTCCCCCGATAATGCGTTTTTCCTGTGCAGCTTGATGGTTAGGCCTTCCCCCGATAATGCGTTCTTCCTGTGCAGCTTGATGGTTAGGCTTCCCCCCGATAATGCGTTCTTCCTGTGCAGCTTGGTAGTTAGGCCTTCCCCCGATAATGCGTTCTTCCTGTGCAGCTTGATGGTTAGGCCTTTCCCCGATAATGCGTTATTCCTTTTGCAGCTTGATGGTTGGGCCTCCCCGATAATTAGTTCTTCCCGTGCATCTTGGTAGTTAGGCCTTCCCCCGATAATGCGTTCTTCCTGTGCAGCTTGATGGTTAGGCCTTCCCCCGATAATGCGTTCTTCCTGTGCAGCTTGGTAGTTAGGCCTTCCCCCGATAATGCGTTCTTCCCGTGCATCTTGACAGTTAGGCCTTCCCCCGGTAATACGTTATTCCCGTGCAGCTTGATGGTTGGGCCTCCCGGATAATAAGTTCTTCCCGTGCATCTTGGTAGTTAGGCCTTCCCCCGATAATGCGTTCTTCCTGTGCAGCTTGATGGTTAGGCCTTCCCCCGAAAATGCGTTCTTCCTGTGCAGCATGATGGTTAGGCATTCCCCCGATAATGCGTTCTTCCTGTGCAGCTTGATGGTTAGGCATTCCCCCGATAATGCGTTCTTCCTGTGCAGCTTGATGGTTAGGCCTTCCCCCGATAATGCGTTTTTCCTGTGCAGCTTGATGGTTAGGCCTTCCCCCGATAATGCGTTCTTCCTGTGCAGCTTGATGGTTAGGCTTCCCCCCGATAATGCGTTCTTCCTGTGCAGCTTGGTAGTTAGGCCTTCCCCCGATAATGCGTTCTTCCTGTGCAGCTTGATGGTTAGGCCTTCCCCCGATAATGCGTTCTTCCTGTGCAGCTTGATGGTTAGGCCTTCCCCCCATAATGCGTTCTTCCTGTGCAGCTTGGTAGTTAGGCCTTCCCCCGATAATGCGTTCTTCCTATGCAGCTTGGTAGTTAGGCCTTCCCCCGATAATGCGTTCTTCCTGTGCAGCTTGATGGTTAGGCCTTCCCCCGATAATGCGTTCTTCCTGTGCAGCTTGGTAGTTAGGCCTTCCCCCGATAATGCGTTCTTCCTGTGCAGCTTGATGATTAGGCCTTCCCCCGATAATGCGTTCTTCCTGTGCAGCTTGATGGATAGGCCTTCCCCCGATAATGCGTTCTTCCTGTGCAGCTTGATGGTTAGGCCTTCCCCCGATAATGCGTTCTTCCTGTGCAGCTTGGTAGTTAGGCCTTCCCCCGATAATGCGTTCTTCCTGTGCAGCTTGGTAGGTAGGCCTTCCCCCGATAATGCGTTCTTCCTGTGCAGCTTGGTAGTTAGGCCTTCCCACGATAATGCGTTCTTCCTGTGCAGCTTGATGGTTAGGCCCAAGTTCCCTGAATGGTACATTTGGAACCTCAATACTTGATGTCCCCGACCGAAATGGTACCGGAATCACAAAAGTGGATCCAACCCCGCCCCACCTCTCACTAACACATCATGTTGCTTTACACACGAAGGCAGATATGATCATTATAAAGAAGCCTTATCACGTGATACATATGCAATACCGAATCCAATTAGTTAACACGAAAATACACATATGTTGCATTTTTTTATTTTGGCGATGTTGTTTTGGTAAACAGTTTAATTACAGTGTTTCAATGAAAGAGTTCGTGGAATGGTTCTAGAAACCCTGCAATCATAGGAATCTCAACAGCATTCAGCTTCTGGATTATCAATCATACATCCTGACTGCCACGTATCGTATAATCGCTTGCTTCGTAAGTGAAAACCCCTCTCGCGGTTAACGGCTAACATGTGTTGCATGAAGATAGGTTGTGTATAAGAGAACATGAGGTATATCTCCTATAACGTCCTGTGAGTGGAAGGAAGGGTCGCCAAGTGGCTGTCGCTGCCAGATATGCGCGCACACACACACACACACGCACGCACACACAAACACACACACACACACACACACACAAACACACACACAGCCGGGATAAAACTTGCACAAGTCTCTAAGGCAATAATTATAAGTTTTAATCATAATGTCTAGATTATGTAAATATTAATAAGTTGTCCCTATAAGATACTGGAGTCATTGTACTGTCCACATATCTAGACTTGCCTATTAGGGGGATAAAATGACTTCACATACATGGAGTTATCTTTCAGTACAGCCTTGGAGCAAAGATAGGCCGGGACGAGCGTCCCATTCCCTGCCACAGTGTCTGACAGCTTGTTCGGAGCTGGATAGTCTGTCATACAAACCCTGAAATCTATATCAAATAAAACCCATGCAAGTCTATAATGTTTGGCAAATCTAGATTGCTGCAGTATCGCGTCTGAAAATGAAGAAAGTCTCTGGACTCCTTTATATTATATTTTATAACTAAAATTTAACAACTGTTTTTTTTTCTGTAAAAAATGTTCATTTCAGTGACTAGTTAGAACACGGCTAATGCATCCGGAGAAGGGGAAAGGACATAGAACGCAAAGCTTTGGCTATGAATTCACCTACCTACCAGTAGCAAGAGAGACAACGCAACATACATCCACGTCCATCTACCAGCAACATTCTTTGTTTTGTGGTTTGTTGTTTAACGCCGCACTCAGCAATATTCCAGCTATATGACGGCGGTCTGTAAATAATCGAGACAATCCAGTGATTGATATCATGAGCATCGATCCACGCAACTTGGATACGATGACATGCTTCAACCAAGTCAGCGAGCCTGACCACCCGATCCCGTTAGTCGCCTCTTACGACAACATAGTCGCCTCTTACGGCAATGCAAGCATGAGTTATTGAAGACCTCTTTACGGGTCCTACCAGTGACAATAGAGATCGTGCAGCACATACACCCATGTCCATCAACCAGCGACCACCATGCAGTTCTTCTTTCAGATGTGACACCAGTCACCATGTTAGGGGCGTCCAAGAAGATTCGGGGCGGTGGCAGTGGTGGTTAAAGCATTTGCTCATCACACCGACGGCCTGGGTTCGATTCCAAACATGGTTACAATGTGTGAAACCCATTTCTAGCGTCACCCGTCGTGATAGTGCTGGACTATTGCAAACAGTGACGTAAACCCAACTCACTCACATAATTCTTGAAGATTCCAGTACAATTTATCATACTTTGAGCTATATTACGAGGAGCCGGGAGTTATACGTTCTAGAAACATTGAACATAGATAAATAGTGTATACCCTTACTTCAAACGACCAGACGTGTAATAATTGCTGAAACCTTTATCGTGTACTAGTGTGTAGTGCGCAGGTCAGGTCAGGTCACGCTATGTATGAACTTCCGGTGTGGATGAAAGGATGGGGCACCTTATATGTGTTATCTCCCTTGTTTCGTTACATCCCAAGCTCCTCACAGCGATAGTACGTTCCCGGAGCTCTCTATACTATAGCTGCCACCAGTCAAAACTCCCCACTGTGAATAGGTGGCCACAACCATGCTTGGAGTTGAACTCGCAACCGAATGACCGTTATGTTTACAAACAAGTGACGACTGTCATGACGCCGAATACACTTATCGCTGCTAAATTACTTTCTTCGTTTGTCAATTTGAATTTCTGTTTCATTAAAACTATCGTGTTATTGATATAGTAAGAATGTAAGGGAGAAGTTGGTTGATTTTCCGTTAGTCTGTAATCTCGAACCAATCTGATTATCAAAACAACAAAGTAAATTCATCTGGAAAACATGGTCAGTCGTAAACCTTTACAAATTGAAATATGATGGCATTCCCAAAGACATAAACAAAAGTATAAACGTTACTACATATGGGGTTGGAGGGCAAATTTCAAGATTCTTGTAATGGCCGCGCCCACACTGGTGGCAGCGATGTTACCGAGAGTGTAACGAAGGTGTCACGCGCTGGGAAGGAGCTTGGTTACATCCAGTGCGGCTGCACACGTGTGCTCACATGCAGTTACAGACATTCTAAGCGGATTGGTGCATCATCCTACTCGTACACACATACACATAGGCAGTCACACACAATCTACATATTAGCAAGGCTTCCTGCATGAGGAACTCACACAGGCACCAAGTCACGCATTCACACACGTCCAGACACAGACACGCACGGGCACGCACGCACAGACTCGCACAGACGCTGAGACACGCGCATACGCACGCAGAGGCACGTATACACGCACAAAGACACACACACGCATGCGCGCAGAGACATGCACGCACGCACGCACGCTCCTAATCAGGATTCAGCCACTGGTGCACCAGTACCATAATCAGAATCTCCATGAAGTGGACACAGTTAATTACCGCCTAAACATCGCAAAAACCGACCCACTTGTCGCCTATCTCGGTCGTCTTCATTATCTTCATGATGCTGCTGTGCCGTGTGGTGTTTAGCGGCATGTTTGATGGAACCACGCGTCATGTTCAAGGCAATTAAGTCAGTAACCTTTGTCCTCCCCCCCAAAACCCGAGCAGGCAGCAGCACTGACAAGTCGTGTATTGAGTTGGTGGGATGACTGGCCTTGAACGACGCATGGTACATCTGCAATACAGATTCAGATTAGTTCCATTTCTTGTTTTACATATTTTTCTCCAAATTACGCCAAGATGTAGGTGGGGAAAG